CCCTTCCCCCGGGCCCTGCGTCATCACCTCTGTCGTCACCGTCGCCTCTGTCATCGCCTCTGTCGTCAGCGTCACCTCTATCATCACCCGTGGATGCATGTGTTCCCGACGCAAAGAAATCGTCGTCGTCGCTGGATGTGCTGTCGAACAAGAAGTCACCCTCGTCCCAGCGCATGTGGGCCCTGCGAATGCCACCATCCGTCCGTTGTCGCCGAGTTCGAGGAGCGGAACCCGCATTGCCACGTGTACATCCTCCGACACCTGCTCGTCCACGGCCGCCACGTCCCCGACCACCGGCCCTGCGTCGCCTCCTGTCCGACTCCGCCACCCGACGCTCGGCTCCCATGCGGGAAATGGCGCGCATCCTCTCTCTGGCGAGGCTCAACTCCTCCTCGGTCACCTTCGCCAGAACACCGGTGCCTCTGACGAGCTGCTGGTCCACGGCTTCCTCGTCCTCCACGGCCTGCCAATAATGCTCCCATTTCCCGAAGACGCCGGGCCTCTCTCCAACACCATCGTCGCAGAACGAAGGTCGATCGAGTAGCCTGAGGTTCCAGTGGCAACGCACAAGCTTCTCAGCCCGGGGAACCTCCAACCCGTTGCGAGACTTCGAATGAATGAAGCTCCAACGAGACCACGCTCTCTCGCACGGTGAGGCAGTCGCCCATATAAGAAGGATCCTGCCTGCAAACACGGCCTTGTGAGGGAACTTCGCCTTTTTTGAGGATCAAAAACTGGCAGGGTGATCAAAGATATCCGCAGCTTGCCACATGGTGAGCTCATCGAAAGGGGGCTCCCTCATGTGGAGCTTGGCGACCGCTCGTTGGACCTCCCGGTGCTGCGGCGAATCCTCCGGGTAGCCGAACTGGACAAGGGCCTCGACCAAGGTCTGCTGCACCTCCGCATCGTCACAAAGCGTCGCGTATCGGAACTCTGGATCTAGCAGCATGGCTGCCGTGTGGGCGGGGGTCTTGAACATGGTGCGCCGTCTGTGGAACACCTCCACAATAGCGTCCTGCTGCTCCCGATCAATGTCACGACATGCGGATAAACAAGATGCAATCATTTCCTCGTAACGTCGCAGAATCTTGCTGATCTGGCGTGTGTCGCTGTCCACCAACTTCAGCATGCCCATGATGGGCTCTAGCATCTTGCACAGAGCTCTCAAATCCTCCCACCATGGAGGGGAGCCGATACATGTAGTGACCTCCGCTGCATCCTTGCGGATCTTGCTGGTCGACCAAACGGTCTCGCGCCAGCGATCGTCGGCCACAACATCTGTCAACGCGGCCCGCAGTGCCACCAGCCTCTCCATCATGATGACGTTCGTGCCGAAACGCGTCTCCGCCGGTAGCAGAAGAGTCTTCGTCGAGTGCGTCTCAAGAACCTCTCTCGCATGTCCATGGCGCTTGAAGAACCTTGTAACCAGCCTCACTTGAGAAATGTGGGAAGCCACCCAATCAATCCCACCGATGTCCTCGAGAATGAGATCCATGATGTGGGCGACGCAAGGAATCCAGAAGATGTGTTTCACGCTCTCATCTTTTTGGAATACCTCCATCGCCGTGACGTTCACCCCAACGGAGTCCGTCACAAACGCCGTGATGTCGCTCAATTGAACGTCCATGGACTTCACCCTTTTCAACCATGCGTTCGCGAGGGCACTGGCATCCTTTTTGCCATGCATGACGTCGGTGGACCCATACACCACCCCGATCTCTGTACCAACAAGGTAGTTGCACAATGTCTGACCACGGATGTTGGTCCAACCATCGGTCATGATTGTGCAACCGGTCTCTCTCGACGTGTCAAGCACCGGCCGAACACACTTCTGGACCTCACCATCCAGCTCGTCCAAAAGGGTCGTGCGCAGCATGTGGTACGAGGGAAGTCTAGGCGCGGGCGCCCGTGGAACCCCCAGCGGGATTATCATCGTGAACATGCGTTTGAAGCTTTCAAGCTTCGTGCTGTTGAACGGCATCCCGCTCTCGACGATGAACCGCATGATTTGCAGATGCTATGTGCACTCCAAAGGGTCCGAATAATATGATGTGACGGCTTGCTGCCTGTAAGTGCCCCGACATCGTCCCGTCGTAGCTCTTCCGCCGAGGACCCCAGCATCCAACAACCCGCCAGGGGTCACAGGTGCCTCGCTCTGTGCGACTGCAAGGTCACGAATGCGCTGCAAAGGGTCTAACGTTCCAGTCAACACGGGTGGAGGCTGTGGGGCAGACCGACCACCGCCCGTGGTTGTCGGAACAGGGGTTGGCGATGAATCGGACACCGGAGCGGGGACCTCCTCGGCATGCACCCCATGATCCACCTGTTCCCCGAAACGAGGCATGGAAGCAGAATGTCGAGCATATGCAGGTGCGTGTGATGGATCCGGGTGGGCGGTTCCGTGAGCGTGGTGGACCACTGGACGCTGCGCCGCTCTCGACGGTGGCGGTGGCAGCCAGGGGTGCTCCGACGAACTGCGGGGTGATGCGCCAGGTGCCACCCCAGTACCACCCCATGCGGCATCTGACTGCCTAGCACTCCTGAAAACAGGGGCGATCGCGGGTGCTGAACTGTCGGCACTCCCCCCCCACCTGCGACTCTCAATAAATGCATGTGTGCTCTCCTCGTCAATTGCCTCAGAGCCCACACCATCCCTCAGAGGCGGGGGCTCGTTGGCTGGCGTGGAACAACCAACTCCCACATCGCGAGCACCTCGTGTCCCAGCCAGCGGCGTAGACGGCGGGGCTGCCGGTCGTGTTGCAACTGTTGTTGCAGGACGCGGTACCGTGACTCGAATGGTCGGAGCCCCAGAATTGGGCAATGCGACCGCTCCAGAAGGGGCGGTGGGAGGAACCAGCGGCGGCACTGCGTCCTCGGGGAATCGAAGAGGTGGCCACTGCAAGCTCGGATGACCTCGCAAGTGGCTCTACAACGTTTCTATGGCCGACGCGAACTCCTTTGGACATTTTGTCATGTCCTTCGACCAGATCGCATTCCACACTGCAGGAGTGGCTGCCTCACATCGGAACTTCTCACTCTTTGAGAAGTGCTCCTTGGCGGCTTTAGCGCCCCCACAAATCGAATGCCCGCATAACCTGCACAGGCATCGACGACCGCTCTTCTTGCCCGCCGCCATCGACACATCCAAATAACGCCCTCTGGCCACGAAATGCCACACTGGGTCGTCCCGCTTGCCGTCGACTGTCGGGTCGACCTTGAACGGCGAGTCAAACGTCTTCGTGTTATGTCCTTGTCGGGCGGTCGTGAGCAAGTCTACCGGATCCTTCCCCCGGTCCTGCGACATGATGAAAGTCGCCAACCGCGAAAAAAAAGACGATGTCGGAACCCTCTGAGAATGTTGCCAACTCGCAATAGAGATCGAAGTCGGCGTCAGAGCGGCAAAGAAACGCTATGAAATAGGCAAAAACGATGAACGCAAAGTACAGAACACCTGGACATCAGAGGGAAAACACAAGACGACATGAAACAAAAAAACAAACAACCAAAGAACAACAAAAAAAACTCAGAACTC